TTGCCCCAACATTCTTTAGCCCAAACGGCATGACCTTATAACAATATAAGCTTGTTTCAGTTACAAAAGTGGTTTTCTCTTGGTCGGCAGAATCCAATTAGATCTGGTTGTAACCTGAATAGGCATCCATGAAGATCAATAGCTCGAACTCTGAGGTTGCATCTACCAGTCGATCTATCCTAGGAAGTGGGAAATTGTCCTTTGAGAGGCTTTGTTCAGGTCGATTTAGTCGACGCACATGCGACATTTCCCATTAGCCTTCACAAGCACTACGTTTACGATCCAGCTCGGGTACTCAACCTCTCTAACAAAGTTTGCTGCAAGGAGCTTTCTGACCTCATCATCAATTATTCTCCATCACTCCTAGGCAAATTTCCTTTTCCTTTGTCTAACTGGTCTATCCAGGGAGTCAACATTTAGTCTATGAGTGATAATAAAGGGGCCAATGTCGAGCATGTTGGCAGCTGACTAGGAAAAAGCATTTAAGTTAGAAATTAAAAATCTTACTAGTTCAGAGCATAGTGGTTCATCAAGTTGCAATCCGATCTGCACCGTCTTTTAGGGTCGGTAGCTGAGACAGGCACTTGGACGATGTCCTTCAAGGGGCAAGCTCTACCCTCGTTATTCTCCGAAAGCAACTATAGGACCACCACCACATCCTGCTTCCCCCTGCCTTTCAAGGTTGCCACGTAGCATTTAAGAGACTTGAGCAGGTCAACGCATCCTACTCCCACTCTGTAATCAGTGGAGAACTTTATTGCGAGGTGGTGCATTGATACCACCGCTCTTAATGCATGCAAAATAGGGTGGCCTAATATAGCATTGTAAGGCGACGTCATGGCTACCACCAGGAAGTTGTGGTTAAACCTGACCTTATTCGACACAAAACCTACTGTCACTGATATGTTGATTCTTCCAAGAGGCCACACCACCTCTTCATTGAAATAGACCAAGGGGGCCTCAGTCAAGACGAGGTCCTTCTGCAGCTCCATCTACTGAAATGTTCCCAGGAACAGAACATCAGTTGAGCTACTGAAGTCCACAAGATTACGCTTTACCTCAAAGTCATGGATGATGAGTTTGACAACAAGGGCGTTATTGTTAGGGTTGTGTATTCTACGCATATTGTCCTCGATGAAGTAGATCACCACCTCAATGCGTAGCCTCTTTGGCAGTTTCCCATCTCCTCCTCATGCTCTAACTCATGGGTAAAGGTTCGATAGGCCAAGGGGTTCTACTCACATGGATGATTCTCTCTCCTTAGTGGAGCCTCTTTTCTCGGTTGATTGGCAGGTCGGTCGCAGTCGTTTTTCTTGATAAACGTTTTCAGATATCCCCTCTAAATCAACTCTTCGATCTCGTCCTTCAAATTCCAACAGTTCTCTATGTTGTGTCCTCGCTCAATGTGGAAGTGGCAATACTTGTCCTAGTTCCGATTGGTTGGGTCACCCTTCAGGCGAGGTGGCCACTTCAGGTAGTCAGCCGATTTGATCTCCATCAATACATTGATGTACTTTGCGGCCTGGTCAAGGAACTCCTCCATAGAGGCAGGAGTGTTCAACTCAACCTCCCAAGGCAAGTCAAGGTGTTAGATGCCATTGACCGCCACAGTGAGCTGAACGATGGGGTCGAGGTTTAGAACTTGCAACCAAGGTTCTAAATATCAATAGAGGCAGGAAGGTTCAACTCAACCTCCCAAGTGGGTTCTTTTTTTATGTATTATTTATTTTTTTCAAAACCAGTTTAGAGGGGTTGGTTTATGTCTCGGCTACCCTCTGAACCATGGCATGACCCGATACACCCCTTGTAGGAGCTTATCGGGAAGGCCCCAATATGATACGTATCGGCCGATACGGGCAAATACGTAGTGATATTTTGAACCTTGCTTGTAGCCTCTCCAAATTAAATCACTTAACGTAATCTCTCAGAGACTCATCATGGCATTGCACTACATTCATCAGACTAGTAACGGATTTCAGGTAGAGTTTGCTAGTTGCAAAGTGTGTCATAAATAGATCTCAAACTACCTCCATGTTCTGATTGAACTCACGGCTAGCCCAGAATACCACATCCAAGTTGTGCCTCAGAAAGCAGTGGGGAAGGCCATGCATAGGCTCGCATCTAGAGCCCCATGTAGCTTCATCAAGGCTTGAAAGCTTTCGATGCAGTTTAATGGGTCGTTGGTGTCGTTGTACGACTCGAGGCTGGGGGCCTTGAAGTCCTTGGGTCAAGGGGCCATAAAGATCTCAGGCGACAATGGAGATGTGTGAAACATGCGAGGTGGACAATGTGATAGTTTGACTAACTTCTTCCTTCTTTGCCTCTTCCTCATCCTTTGGAGCAAAACTACTTTTCCCTAGGTCACGTCGTGTGCATCTACGATCTCCTTCGGGACCCCTCAATGGAACCAGTATTGGTAATTCCAACCAAGGAGGTAGCCCAACTAGTTTATTCAATTGGGATGTAGGTGGAGTCTTAAGCTTCTGAGGTGTGGGTCCTCTCCAAGTCGACGATCCCAGACAACTGATTTTGGTTGTTGTGATGGCATTTTGCTAGCGGAGGGGATACGACACCTGGCTCTGGTTCTATTTTGAGTTGTCGGGTTGCTAGTTCAAGTTCACTCTTGGCACAAGGACCTAACCAATGAACTATTGATGCGGTTGTTGTGATGACTGTGACATCTGCTACTGTGGCATTTGCAATCAGGACATGTATTGTTGTTGCATCTAGGCCATCGTAATGAGACAACCTTCCCAACTTTGCATCTGCATGTAGATGCTACGGATAAACTTGTTCATGGGTCGAGTATCCCAACGGGCTGGCCTGATCTAAGTCGGGCTTAGACAAGATTTTAGGCCTGCGGGCTCGGGCTCAGGCCTAAAACATTGGACCCGACCTTTTTTCGAGCCGGACTCGGGCTTTCTCAAAAAAGCCCAGTCCAAGCCCGAGTGATAGTGAGATCTTTATAAAGTCATCTCAGGTAGAAAAACTCGTGTGGGAGTGATTGGTTGAGACATTAATTTGACATATCAAGTATAAGTAGCAATGATCTTACCAAACACAGCCTACAAAATCCAACTAAAATGTTCAAATAAAACCCAACTTTGGTTGCATACTTGCATTTGGAAAAGTTTTGGCATTTGTGTTCAAATAAAAAAAATGGCTCTTTACATTAGGTTTTAAGACTGTCTTTGGGAGTATTGGCTTCTCCAACGTGAAAAGGATTGTTTGATTCTCTGAAACTAACTGATTCTTTTTATTGAATCATAACTAATCTATGCTCTGAAACTAAAAGAAAAATGTTTGTTTTTTTATTGAACTCAATAAAAAATAAAAGAAAAAGGCATGTTTGAGTTGAATCACATACTGCTAAGTGGGCTGTCAGGCCCAATTTTATATGAGCAATAAATTCATCGATCCAAGATGGATCAAACTTAGATCCATCAAACTTATATGTTCAAAGTATCGACATATATCGGTCCGTATTAGTTGATATGTATTGTACTGATGACTTCTCGATATGCCCTTGTAGGGGTTTATTAGACCAGACCATGGTTCAGAGGATAACCAAGACTTAAATTGACCCTTCTGAACTGGTTTTGAAAAAAAACAAATAAAACATAAAAAAATGCATCAATACAAGTCGATATGCACCTTTATGGATACTTTGAACCTTGATTTGGATCTAAAATTTTTAGACACAAATCTGTAGGTGTACAAATAGATCGGATCATGATCTGATCCTATCCGAGATTCGATCTTATTTGGTTGAATTCGGATCACCCTTGTTCGGATCTTTGGATCACCCCCTTTCTGATCCGATATATTGTATATTTATAAATATAAATATATATAATACACATATATGTTATTTATTTATAAATATATTTTGTTTTACAAAAAACATGTATATATAATGAAAATAATTAAAAAAATACTGGTATTTTTTACTTTATTTAAATTAACATATTTTATTTTTCTTGTAATAATCTATTAACTTTTAAAGAAAACAAGTTGGATCGGATTAGACCCGAAAATCCGACTTATCGATAGGATTTGATGATGCATGATCAGGTTGCTCCTAGTTGGAGGGCAGCTCGGATGTCGGTCTGCTTAGTTGGTCAGTCAAATTGCAAGAAAAGAATGCTCAGAGGACCCAAGGTGGCTTACCCGGTGTGGTTGCTCCGATGCTTAAGTTAGTAACTGTATGCAAGCTGAGGGCTTGTAAGCTAGAAGGCTAGTGAGCAAATAATCATGTGTACCTTGTAACGTTTGGGGTTGAAGCCCTTACATAGGCGAGCTGCTGTAGATCTTACATAACACCTCTGAGATCCCCGGCCTGCGCTGCGAGGAGTCCGTTTCTCACTCGAAAGCAGACTTCGTGTGAATTAATAAGGCTTATTGGGTCCATCCGATCTAGCCGGGATAAGAATAAGGGTTGCAGATGTACAACGTGATACCAGAGAGGTTGGAGACAGCTGGTTAGCTTCTAGAAGTTGGCTACTTGTCATCTTGGCAAATCGGGCCATCACGAGCTGCTCGAACCTCGGTCTTAGCCAAGGTGCCCGAGGTACCCAAATTGACCTGGCTCACTGAGATGACAAGGAACACCGAATTATCATCCATGTCATCAAGTCAATCCACATGTCCGGGTATTGACATATTGAGCCAAATTAACCCACATCAAGATTCAAATTCAAATAGAATCCTATCAAAATCTTCGAATCGAATCAAATAATAGTATAGGATCGGATTCAAATATACCCTCATTCGAATCCAATATTATCCGTCCGATCCGTTTGCATCCCTTCAAAATCTCATGCTCAGTCTTAAATTATTAATCAAGGCTGGATGCGTATCGGATTTCCCCGGTAATCGGGTCCCCATAGGCCATAGCAAATACGACCCAATTTTTTGATATGTCAAGGCTATTGCTTTCTATTGTTTTCCCATTTAATGTTGGGCCGGACCATTTAAGAGAGAGAGAGAAGACCATTAGATTTGACAGTTAGACCACGGAAGGCCTTACGTGTATTATTAATTGCCATTATTACTGCATTTGTTTACTTGAAAAAGAAAAAGTAAAATATCGTGTTTATATTTTATACTACACAGCCAAAACTACGGTCAACCAACCTCCAACCCTCCATCCTGGATGCGGGGACCAATCCAACTGTTCGGATCAGGCCTTGGAAGCATCCAGATCGACGGTACTCGGAACACTATGTCCACGTGTACGGTTGCGAATACGGTTTAACTCGGCCACCAACTCCTTGGCGTCCGGTCGGTCGTCCTTATCGGCGGCAACACATTGGAACGCCAGCTCCGCCACTGCACTCACGGTGCTCATCGTTTCCCCTTCCAGTATCAAAACCGGGTCCACCACCAGATGTAGCGCACCCACTTGAATCTTCGACACCACCATATCCGCCAGCGCCACCTCCCTCTTATCCCTGCTGTGATCCACCGCCTTCATCCCGGATATCAACTCGAACAAAACTACTCCGAAACTATAGACATCGCTCTTCTCTGTTAGCTGGAAAGACTTGTGGTAGTCTGGATCCAAGTACCCCGGCGTACCCTGGGGTCCCGTCCACACATATTCAGACGACGACGATTCAGGGAAGACAAGAAGCCTCGAGAGCCCGAAATCCCCCACCTTGACTCTCATTTCTTTGTCGACGAAGATGTTCGACGAAGTTATGTCCCTGTGGACGATAGCCGGTTGGACCGTGAAGTGAAGGTATTCGAGCGCCAATGCCGTCTGCAATGCTATATCGACTCTCACCTGCCATGTTAACGACGCTTTTCTATACAAGCTCTTCGAGCCATGGAGATGGTCGGCGAGGGTTCCGTTAGGCACGTAGTCGTAGACGAGTAGTAGCCCTCTCGGATCGCTGCAGTACCCGTGAAGTTTCACGAGGTTTGGGTGATTGATCGAAGACAGTATTAGAATCTCATTACAGAAGGACTTCGTTAAAGCGGCTCGGCCCGCTGCGGTGGTTGCAGCGTGTTGCCCGTGCAGCTTCTTTACGGCTACAACCAGCCCGTCATAGAGCTGGCCGAGATATACGGATCCAAATCCACCATTACCAATCTTGTTTCTTGGGTGGAACCGATTCGTGGAGGATTCGAGTTCTTCGTAACTGAACATCGGTGGGAGGAGATTTGCTGATCCGTGTCGGTGGAGAAACAGAGTAGTTGAGTCTTGTTCATTTTTCGATGATTTCAATACCCTATAGCGAAGGATCAATAATGCAACTGCGACAACAAGCAACAGGCACGTAAAGATGAAAAGAGCACACAGTAGAACGATCCGGTTGGGGTTATCTCGAAGAATCCATGGCGGCGACAGTGGTGTGGGTGAATTGGGGATTAAACAGAGGAATGGCTTTAGAGCGTCAGAAAGGTTAAACCCACATACGCCATTCTTCTTGGACCGGCAATCCTTGCACTTAGAGAAATACGTGTCGTTTCTTTCATCCCACTGGATCTGGATTTGATTTTGTAGAAGGAATTTACATAAATCACCACGGGTATTGCATCCCTGTTTAGAGTCACTGGACTTCACGCAGCAGTGTTTTAAAAGTTGAAATGGTCTCCCGAGTAGCTTGCAATCCCAGGAACAACTAATGCAATTTTGGAGATTGGAGTTGTCGCACTGCGGCAGATCAGAAAACCGAGAACACAAAGCGCCGGAGAATCGGAATGGAGAACCCGTGAGATTGATTGGAGGGTCAGAAAGGGAAGTGGAAGGGCAGGAACCGTGGGTTAGGTTATGAACGGAGGGGGTCTCGGGATAGAGGGTGAGAGTTCTGGAGTTGTGGTCGAGATGAAAGATATGGAAAGTGAAGTCATTAATGGAAATAAGCGAGCCATTAGGGGAGCATTTGATCTGGAACGAGGGATGGCCACAACCGGGAGATGAAGAGAAAGGGAACGAGGGTGGAGAGGAGAAAGGCGGACAAGTTGTCGACGTTCGTAAACATTCATGAGCGGTGGTCAGATCAACGGCGAGCAGTCGGAAAAAGACAAAGACGACGGTGAGGGTGATCGACTGTGAAGGCGGGTAAGGAGGAGTCATGGAGGGGTCTAATTGATTACTTTTGTCATCAGATTGGGAGCTGTGAAGAGGGGAGAGAGGGGAAAGGTCTCGTGGTTCGAGGGGTAGGATCACATGAAGAGGATGGATAAAGACAAAGGAGCTGTCAAACAAAGAGACCGGAGCTTTGAAATCTCAACTCTATTTTCGTAATTTTCTGATCGAGCCTTTCTGGGAAGAAGACAAGTCTTTTAGGGCCCCAACCCACACTCCTCACAATCACAGATGAGACGCTAAGACCTGCTTCAGTTTCAGTCAGTGGAAGTCTATGCTTACACCGTTCTAACAGCCTCTAAAACACACAATTTCCTTATTTTTTTTTTGAAAAAATTTCGCTACTTTAGTATTAATAGTTAAACTTTTAAAGGTACCCAATTTTCAAAAAAGTGTCAATTAATCTTTACCCTTAACAGTCTGTCAGTTATCTTATTATGTGATGATAGTTTCTAAAATTTTTTAAAAAGTGACATGTTCATTTTAAAATTTTTTAAAATATCAAAATTACTGCAGCTGAATTGACTTGATGAGAAGACAGAGGACGTGAATTGATGAATTCGGTGAGGAAACAAAAGAACAAGGGTTGTACTAAACCAGTTATCCGCAATTTCAATTGTCGATTCAGATGCTTGCCTCGTAGCTCTCAATTGATGAAGCACCAATAGTTATCTTACACCTTTATCTTCTCTCTCTCCATCGGCACTAACGGTCTCAGCCTTAGAATTGGGAAATCGATTCTTAGACACCAATAGTTACCGGAAATGGATTTTCGAACCCGAGCCAGCGAACTCAGGTTGAAGTTCACAGTCTTAGATGCCGACGTTAGTGTGTTGATTCAGAGAAGAGAAATCCCAAGAAATAACATCTAGGATACGACCTAGTTCAATGTGAATGTAGGATGCTTGCCGGTGAGAGTCGGATAGCTTTAAATTTAACAAAGCCTGAGCCGAGATACGACCTCCACAACGGTCTCTGTTCGGTTTGATAGCAAGGGGTAGTGATGGTAGGGATGAGCTAATGAGATCTGGTGAAGGATGATTTGGCACGATCTAGTAAGAAGGGGATACGTAGATGTGATCTGCTTGAGAGATGACAATTCAGCCGAATGAACCCATTTCGTAATATTTGGAACTCGAGTATCCCGCCACCTTGACATAAAAAATCATCTCGGCGTAGAAACACCTTGATACCATTCCAATCTGGGATTAAAGAATTGAAGTAACAGTTCGGAGTTAATGAGCCGAAACGTCACATAACCTGCTCCAAAGGCCTCTCTAACGGATCCCGAATTTATCGGGATCACGACGAAACTCCAACTGAATCGGGGGTAAATAATAACCTTCGAAATTTGGATCGAATAGAAATATCTAGATCGCACACCATCAAGATCCAAGTAGAATGATTGTAGGAAAAAAAAAAAGAACAATTAAATGGTGAAGGCGGAAAGCAAGGCGTCTGTCCAGTGGAGGAATCAAGAAATAGGGGCGAGCTGGGGCGTTTTTGTTGATAGCCTAGGCCTTGCTACGTATGCAGGAATCAAGGGAGAATAAGAAAGAGAATGGGGAGAATGATTTTGAAGGCAAAACGATAGAGGAGAGGAAGATAAATGAACCACCGTTGATGGAGGTTGTTGCGGTGGTGGTGGCTTTACTGATGGTCAACTGTGCAAACAGGGAATCAGAGTACCGGTTGATTAGAAATATTAGGAGGAAAATGAGAGGAGGAGATAAATGCAGAGCAATGAAAGGAAATGAGAGGGGGATGGCCAAAACTGAGAACACCGCCACTGCTAGGAGCCGCAGCGGCGGTAAATCGAAATGGAAGAGATGAAGAACGTCGGGGGAAAGAGAGAAAATAACGGGAGGGAAAGAGGAAGAGAGGGGGTTCGGAAGAAGTTTGCCGCTGCCGGAAGACCAGATAGGAGATCGTTGCCGTTGTTCGAAGTTTCAAGAGCTTGGGGAAATGAATAATAACCTTCAAAAATTCAGATTTGCAAGGATTCAACAACCACTCAACTGCGACAGCGACGATGCGGGATCCAATAATTGCAACTAGAGAGTCGATTAATTGGAGGGGGTGGTTAGACATCCGATACGAAATAGAAGAAAATTAGATGATAGGTAAAAGGTATTATTGTACTTTTATATGATGCTTAACGTTCATTAACGATTTTAGGTAAATTTGACACTTTTTTAAAATTTGGATACTTTGAAAGTTTTAGTATTAAAGTTTGGGTATCAATTTAATACTTTTTTTTTTGAAAGAGTATCAATTTAATACTTAACGTCCATTACTTTGACATTACCCAAAATTTTTAAGGTATTAAAGTAGAATTTTCTCTATTCTTTTTTATTCAAACAAACCATGATTTCATTTATGATTTAACACAACATAACTGACTCGGTCACTCGGACCGACTCGGACTCCTGTTTTCACCTTTTACGGTTTTACCCAAGCAAAAATATAGGGGGCCCGTCAAATCGTCCAATCCAATAGTGCCGTAATTGTTATTTGGTAGCACAAATGCAGGAGAGGGTGCCATCACCAACGAGAACGACTCCTTCCAAATCGAGTTTTTAATTGCTTTTCCACATAGATTTTTCCTTTTTCAAGGGACCAAGGCTGACGATCAAATCTAACTTCTTTCCTATGTCCTAAATCTACAAATAAGGCGTGTAGAACGGGCGAATTCAAATCAGCACTCACAAGATTATCCCTACAACGTCCCACGATTACATTCTAGTTGTTTACTGGGAACATCTCCCGATCATCATTTCAGAAATGATGATATCATCGGGAGATGTTTTCAATACTTAACAGGGATGCGCTGTAGGACACTGTGGGGGTCAATGTTGTGGAGGGCTGATTTGATCTCAAGCTACCTAATCCAATCAGAAATGAACACGTCAGCAATTACACACTGTGCAGATGTACCTATAGCGGACGTGTTTACTTCCTTTTGGACCATGTAGCCCGTTGTACACTTCACGCCTTGTTTGTAGTGGGTTCGGAGCCGAATTTGGTGCCACTGAATGTGCCCAAGTAGAAGATGCCTTGAAGCAATAACACGTTCAAAGAATTACGATTCAGATATTTTACATAGTACAACTAATTCTAGATGATCCGTTCTTCTCAGGACTTCCTTTGTAGGGAAAAATCTTAGCTCCATCTTAGGGGTGGATTGAACTATAAAAACCCCTAAATTAAAGGGAAATTACTGATAAAGATATTTTAAATTTTAGTTATAAGATGGGTATTTTAGACATTTAATGGTTTTGTATTAGTTGTTATCAAAGTTTTTAAAATCAGACCGGATAGGGAACTGTTTTTGGAACCGATTCCTGGGTCGAATGGTCTAACTGTTCAATCTGAATAGATGGTCTGTTTCGATAAAAATTAAAAAAGCAAATTCAAAAACAAAAAAATGGCCAAAACCGTTATTTGGGTCTATGGTTTGACCACCCAGGTCAGCGGTTCACTGACCAAATCAATAGTTTTTGCCCAAAAAACGATTTTGAGGTGAAACAGAATCAATCAGGTGATCGGTTCCCAGTTTTTCCAATCTGACCGTCCGATCCAATCCGGTTTTGAAAACATTGGTTGTTATTATTGTTTGGGGAACATCGAAGATGAATTAGTTGTTACTATTTCTCTTCATTTCTTTTTAATTTAATTAATTAATAATTTATCCATTTGGGTTTTGAACAAAGTAATTCTAAAGTACTGGTTAAAAAAGCATGATTCTAAAAGGACCGAGTTTGAATCATAAGAACACAGAATATAAAGAAACATATTTTATTTTCTCCAATGAAATATGAAAGTAATACACGTGGGTTTGCAATTGGTTTGTGATGACTCCAAAAATCACGAATGAACATGAGGTTCTGTTTGGTTTGTGGGAATAGGGGTTTAGAATCTGAATCGGAATTGGCTATTTCAATTCTAACTGTTTGGTTGAGTGGAATTGAAATTTCATTTCCATTCCTGGTGGAATGGTATTTTCTCATTTGAGATAATGACAATTCCCTGTCTCTCTCCTGGAAATGAAATTCTATTCCTACTAATTTTAATTTTTATTTTCATCCCTGAACCAAACAGGGAATAGACCATACCGATTTCAATTTTAAAGGATTTTAATTTCGATTCCAACTGATGAGTGAGTATATCAAATGTAGTGGGTAAATGAGTAAATGCATATCTTTAGATAGATGGGTTACTCGCCTTTTGGAATTGACTTACCCATAACGCGTGTTTGAGATTCAGAGACACTTGTTTTATGTGACATGTCTGATGTTCATGATTCAACACTGGGCCCCGTTTTTGAATTCCATTGACTACCTGGGGCCATAGTGTCACCAAGTGGTGGTTTTCCACTTGTTCTTTATCATGCACTTTTCTCATTGGAACCGAGATAAATCTGTGCCCATACCATTCTAACAGTCTTTTAATTTTGTATTGGGAATATCTCAATAAAGCATAAGGAATGGAGATATTCTTGATGCAAAGCATTAAAAGTTGCCCGAATGACTTTTGCCAAACCGAATTCCACTGAACCGTGGTGCCCAAGAAAGCCAAGGTGATCTGATTGATGTAGAGTAGGTGACTAATGTGGATGAGAGGTTCAACCAAGCTGAGGTGTCAAGTATACATGTCGGGTTCTAATTGGCTCTGGCTCTCAATTACAATCGTATCAATTTAGAGATCACAGTGCCCCACATGCACATCTCAGGTGCATTGAGAATATTTCTCATATTTGTTATTGGGAAATGTTATCATCAATTTGTATCCTTTGGCAGGGCTTGAGCTTTAGTTGAGTAGTTAAGTTGCTTTAAAGAAATCACCACTAAAAGTTTGAATGGAGTGTCTTGTAATGAAAGTATGATAGCAAGTTTGGACTCTTACCAGGCTTTTCAGATGGACACTTGGGACTTGTGGATTTAACTTCAGAAATAAAGAAAATTGTATAAAAAGTTGAGATTTTTTACTAATAAAACATGTTCAATCCTCTCTACTAATTTTATCTAACATGAGACTGGATGCAATGACACATCATAAAAGTAGGACCCATCATATATGAGATGTGTGATGTAAGATTATATTAATAAAGGATTGAAATCTGTTTTGTTGGTAGGTAACCTGGACTCGTTTTCTACATCATCAATTTGGATTAACTGAATGCCATAGATGTTCTGTAATCTATGAATGCAATGGTCATGTCAAAGCAGGCTTGTGATACAATACATGAACCCACAGTGAAAAATTAAATATATGGTTGGGGTTCATATAATTTTTATTAGTGGTGTGGAAAATTATCATCGGTTCCACAGCAAGCTGAACAGCTATTGGGGTTCAGTTAATCCTAAACAATCAAAGTTTTTCTAAAAAAGGCAACTTTTGGCCTTTAATATCAATAAAAATAAAATTTTTAATATAATCTTTAGAATAATCATTTTTTTTTGAAAAAATATCAAATAAGGGCAAATATATTATTCACCTCTTTCCTCCTTTAAATTGTGAACAATGGTGGCAATTTTCTTCTTCTCCCTCTCTGCATCTGAGAATAGTGTAGAGATTCCCTCTCCACTGATCACAACCTATTTGTTCTATTTGACTCAATTCATCGATAATTCAACAAATTCGGCATACTCAGGTACGAAAAATATTCTGCAAAGTGGAGTGGAGAGGGATCTCACCGTTCTGCTCTGCTCTGTGTTTAGAACAACCTAAATATGAAGAAGAAGAGAGAGAAAGAGAGAGAGAAGTGGGGGAGATCGAAAGTGGAAAAGGTTTGCCGCCGTTGTTCACCATTCATAGGAGGGAGGAAGGAGATAAACAGTATGCTAATTAGTCAACGTTTGACAATCTGTGACAAGGAAGCACTCACACCAAAATCAGTGGAGGATACAACGAAGTTAACGATTTAACGAGTGGCGGGGAACCGGCGACACTACACAACCAATGATGTCCCTGCTGACTGCTGTAGTGTAGAAGACTAGAAGTATATTATTGGATGAGGATTAAACCGGGATCGAGTCGGTTCAACCGAACAGACCATGGGAGTATTTTCTCAATATTTGAATGCTCTTGACCCGACTTCGTCAAAACGTCCATCATGTGTTGGATTCGCAGTTGACGGTGCCCGTGCTTACCACGTATTAAATATCAATCACACCCATTGGACAAATCTGCAGTGGCTACGACTAATATCCTCCGTTGGATTGCAAATTGGGTGATGACGAATGAACAATGGGTCCTTCATATGTATGGTATGGGTATGGCGCACTGAGATGAAGTGACCGAACCGAGATGATGCAGCTCCGAAGTTTCGTCGTCAACTTACCAAAGTCGTTCTCTGAATCCGATTGAGTGCATACATGCATCCTGTTTCCCATTTTCTTATTCTCCAGTTAGAAGGGTTACAAAGCCAAAACGCCAAAACCCCTCTTAATCAGACCTCTTTCCATAAAGAAACAAACAATCAGAAGAGGGAGAAGCAAGAAGATCAGCCAAACACGTCATCTCCCTTCAGCTTAAGTTTCAGCTTCATCTGGTAGGTAAGAAACAACAATTCCGCCTTTTTTAGTCTTTCATCCTCTTCTCCTTGTTTATATCTCGTTTCTTAAACCCTAAATGTTCAGATTTCGTAATTAATTTCCTGGTCTTGTTGTATTTGGTATCTTCAGACTTCAGATTAATAAATATTTTATATATGAGATATATACGCTATGGAGTTCTTTAACAAAGCCCAGGCCGTTAGACTCCGAAGCCACCTCGGGAAGTATCTATTCGCCGACGACGATGAAGAAACAGTTCGACAAAGCCGTAACGGCTCCACTCGCAGAGCAAGGTGGATGGTGGAGATAGTCCAAGGGAACAAACAGCTGGTGCGCGTCAAGAGTTTCTTCGGCCGATATCTGACCGTCTCCGACGTGCCATTCCTCCTAGGAATAACCGGGAAGAGAGTATTACAGACCGTGCCGGGAACAACACCGGAGGCGGCAATCGAGTGGGAGCCTATCAGGGACGGGTTTCAGGTGAAGCTCAGAAACCGTGGCGGGAAATACTTGCGCGCAAACGGAGGTACTCCGCCATGGAGGAACTCGGTGACTTGTGACGTCCCTTGTAGTACTGCTACACAGGATTGGGTGTTGTGGGACGTTGAGGTGGTTGAAGTACCAGAGTACGAAGCTCGGTCATTCTCCGACTATCGGTCCCAGTTATCAAGTTTTTCTTCTCTGTCTCTATCGGAGGATTTGGTGGATTCCGAACCAGATTCACCGTGGTCGACGTCCTCAGGAGCTCTGACCCCTAAATTAACCAGCTCGTGGTCGACGGTTTCGGCCGCTATTTCTCTCTCTTCAAAGAAGGTAATCCATTCTGTCTCTTTCCTAGTTTTTGTTTATCTGAACTCTGAGGCCAATTTCTGTGGTACCGAAAAGGTACGGTACCTACAAGAATCAAACAAACCAGAATCCGAGGTGAGTTTTGAGAGAAAATACCGGTTCATTGGCCATTAATTTGTTAGGTACAGACTACAGTAGCTTTTCAGCATTATAAGTTATAACCTGAAAATTTGCAATCAAATCTTAAAAGGGACTGTGAAAATTACCTTGCAATGCTGAATGTTGACGATTTGCGGTTTGATGCGTATTTAAGTGTATAACTGGAATATTCTTGGGACCCAGCTGGATTGACAGATGGGTCCCACTTCAACTGAAACAATGGTCCGGATGAATGGTGTACAAAGGAGTAATGCGCAACGCACACACATTCGCAACTTTCCACCCTTAAAATGAAAAGGGGAAAATAAAAAATAACAAAAGTAAAAATTTAAAACGGAAAAGAAGCTTTCTTCATAAAGGTAAGACCACTATTGTCTTTGTATATGGGAACAAAAATAGTTATCTACTTCAACAATTTTTTTATCCTTTAGTTAAATAAACGTGGACTTCACTAGCAAAAGTATTAAAAACTCCATTGGCTGTGTTTGGTTGCAATGCAAATTTATTTGTGTTGATGCAAAACCATAAAAGTGCAAATGATTTTAATGTAAAATATAATTCATTTTTATTTTAAAGTTTGCCTTATTTTGTTTTGATTGCAGTATAAATAAAGTAAAGATAGATTTGAAGCAAAGTAAAGTAAAACTCAAAATAAAATTAAACCAGAATTTGCATTATTTTCATTTACACTCCCAAGCATCTGTACTAATACAAATAAAATTGCATTGCAACCAAACACAGCCTTTGGATTACAAGAGGAATATCCATTTGGATGATCATATTGTAGATGGAAGAGTTAACAAATTGATTTTCAAGAGAATAGAAGAAAAGATAAAAGCCAAAGTGAGTGGGTGGAAGCAATAAAACCTTATCTCTTGCAAGTATTGGAGGAGCTAGAAATTTTCTTTTGGGGGAAGTTAAATAATAAAATGAGATAGGGAATAGATAAAGTAGGGTTTGGAGAGAAAGGGGGCAGAAATGTTTCGACCTATTACAGATTTAAAAAAATAAACATTTTTTTTTTATTTTAGGAATTGGAGAAATATTACATAGTGATCCTCTTGACAAGTTTTTGGGGGACGGGGGTGTTAAGACACACTTAATTACACTCCCAACCCTGCCTCCACCTATATAATAAGGCTTTTAAGATGTTTTTCTTTTTCATTTTTTTTGGGGGGAGGGGGGCAATGCACTTTGCTCAAAGCAACAATGTCTAAATGCAAGGAAATCCACTTTTTTCAAACCAACAGTGCCTATGATGCCTTTGTTTGCCATGAGAGCTTTTAAATTTACTAAAGATAGTTTCATGTCTATGGATAAAATGCAGAATAGAAAAAAAAATGGGGAAAAAATGATAGATAACCTTGGAAATCGTTGTGTAAACCAAAACCCTATGGAGGATGGGGCATGAAAATCTAAGTGGTTGAATGTGCTTGTTTGGCAACTAAGTTGTAAAGTTTTAAATGACCCCTCAAACTAGTAGGTTCAAGTACTAAAAGAAAATTATTTAAAAAATGAAGATTTTTTAAAGTAAAAAAAAATAAAAAGAAAATTGGTATCTCTTGGGTTTAGAAAGATATTCTACAATAAAGAGATTTATTAAAAAAAAAAGGGGAAGCAAGTTGGATAGTTGGAAATGGTAAACTATTGAATTATGAATGATACTTGGATAGGAGAGAGAGTCTGCTACAATCTCAGCTGAATGATGTTATTATTCCAAAACCCAAATGCAAAAGTAAAAGAAATTGTTGATTCAGCAAATAATACTTGGGATGAGATTAAAACAAGATCCTTACTAAATGAGAATATTTGGAATAAAACAAAAGCAGGTGTCACCCAAATGGAAAAAGAAGAGAGAAGATAAAGATGATTTGGAGATTTGAGCCAAAAGGTGTTCTCTCTGTTACCTCGAGATCACATTTCCTGCAAACACCGATTTAGGACAAGCCTGAGACCCCAATGATTTTTGACACGCCAGTGCTATAATTGGATACCGACTTGATGTGATATTTTGTCTTTTTCAGAGGGTCTCAGGCTTGTCCTGCAACGAGGTCGCAGGAAATGTGCCCTCAGTTAACTCAGGACATAGACTCTTAGCAACAATTCAGGTGTAGCAATGATGAGGAAAGTAGGGTGGTAAATCCCCCCTCCCCCTCTCCATATGTGGAGACTTAGAAGATTGCAGCCATATTTTCCTAACTTGTGCATATGCAAAACAAGTTTCGGACCTTATTGACAATTCTATTCGAGTACACCCTCATCAGTTCTCGTCCCATTTTGGAATTGAAGTAAATTGAGAATGGCCAAAATGTGGATGTGGGTAGGCTAAAGGAAGTTTAGGTTTTTATTATTTGGAGACTTTGGAAATCAAAACTGATAAAGATTTTAATAATAATATTCTTCCTCCAATTCTCTTAAAAAGGGCTAGAATGGAAGCTAGAGTATGTAGAGTAGTGGTGCAAAGAATGATTCAGATGGAAATGTATATATCAATAACGTGGTTAAATGCGGTTTTGTTTGTAGAAGAATTCTCAACCTCCAATATTCCCATGTCTTTAAAAAGCAAACTTCAGCATATTGGTTAGTTCCAGATGGTGTTTTGACATCTTTGTAGTTTTTCTCCTTTATTTGTTTTTGTGATTCATGGTTACCTCGTCTTGCGTTCAACCATATACTCTATTATTAGTATGTAACTTTTGTTTGATTAAAATATACAAGTTTTTAAGTTTAGACCCTTTCTCTAGTTATAAGAACATAAATGAAATTTAAACAAACACTTTTCTATTCATTTAAATCACTCTCATTGAGTGTTATATTTAAAGTATTAACTCGAACTAGCATTTATTGATTCTTATGTTGATTAGAATACCTCTATTTTTAAATTTGATGACTCTTTAATTGTGAGAGCACAAAATGTAATTTGAATTACTATATTTCTCCTCTTTCAATTACTTTTCATAAACTCTTATGTTTAGGGTATTAGTTCCATTCATTCATCGAATCATATATTAATTAGCCATATTAAAAAAAAAAATAAGTGTGATAAATAATAGTTATTTTTATTGATATAAATAAAATACAAATTTAAAACCAACTTAAAAATGGAATTGTTTTTCTATTTGGTGACAAGTTAGAAGAACAACCTTTTGGGTTAAATGTGTTAACTCTTGATGTCATAATTAAATAATAATAAAAGTTAAAAAAATGAAAACACATAAAAGTATAAAAGTATAAAAAAAAATTGTACAAAATATTTTGGGAACATCTCTAATATTGTATAATCATCATATTAAACAAAAAAGTGTAATAAATAACAATAATTTTTAGAAATAAAAATATAAAATATTGTAATTTTTTTTTAAAAACACATTATTTGTGACTATCATCATAAAAAAAAAATTGGCATGTGCAAAGCACATGCAAACTTACTAATTCTATAAAAAAAGGAAAAGAAACGTGACCTTTTTCCGTATATGCCCCATGCCCTTCTCTCTCTCTCTCTCATTATAATTCCTCTAATTAAATTAAGGGTAAAATATAAATATCTACCCTAAAGTTTATGACAATCATAATAACCTCCCCTAAAGTTTCAGAGTAACAAAAATCTCCCCTATAATTTAAAAAAAAAAGACATGGAGTTATCTCTCTTCTATCTTTGTCCGTGGTAATGGAGACTTTAAAGTTCCAATATTGCCCTTACAACTTATTAGGACATCTTTCAATGTAATTCAAAGTACCATATTTGCCCTTCTAGACTTCATTAGACTTGACATTTTTGTAGAGTAAAACTAATTTACTACTCTTTTCAATTTAAATGTTCTTTTGAGGGTATTTTATTAAATTTCCATATAAGGATAAAATAGGTACTTTTAAAATACTAATGCATTAGGCCAACATTTTCAATCCGAGACAATAAGATAAAGGGAGGTAACTATAGGTTTTTTGAAAACTATAGGGGAGGTTTTTATGATTGTGAGAAACATGAAGGTGTTCATATTCTACCCTTAGGCCCCATTTGCTTTTGCATAAGTTAATAACCGGAGTAAATATTCTACCCTCAGGCCCCATGTTCTTTTATTTCTTTGGCAAATATAACAATGACCATTTTTAGCCATAAAAATACATTATTAAAAGAGGCATTTTTGTTTCATTCAAATGTTGATAACTTTCCCCCAAGTGAGAAAGTTATTTACCCACTTGGAAAATAAATCTTTCATGATCCCCACATAAAATTGAAAAAAGAGCATGGGTTTCTTGGTCTATGGGATTCAACTTTCCCCATCTAAAATCCAAAAAATGAACACCCCCTTAAAGTAAAACAAAATTTTTAGGTGACACTTGGAAAATTGATTAATACATGTCAATACACTTAGTAGAAAAAAGAACCACTTCTCATCAAGTGGTAGAACCCAATGTTTTAAAGTGACCCAAAATTGGAATTGTTCTGGCCATTGATTTTCACGTTGATGGTTTGATCGTCCGATTCAAACGAACAGCCCATTTTGACAAAAAAATAAAAATAAGAAAACGATTAAAAATTGTTAAATAGGTTGAATAAATCAATTGTCTGAGTCAATGGTCATTAACCAATTCAACAAGTTTTGGCCAATGATCGGGTTTAGAGTAATACGGAACCGGTTTCCTAGACAGTTCTTGGGCTGAACAGTCCGATTATTCAGATCAACAGCCGTTCGAAAACATTGGTAAAACCAAATCAGAGTAAAATAACTTTGGTTGTTGTGGGCCTTGAGAGCATTTTTGGGCTGGAAACTTGAAAAGTGAACGAACGAGGCTTGTATGGTTCTAAGAAGAAAAATAAAAAAGAAAGGAAAAATATTAGTCAGTCAGCTCAATAAACGAGACCGAATTTGATCCTTACGCATGACGCATCACAGAGATCTCACACGCATCCCACCGTGCATTGAAAGCATCTCCCGTATTTGTTGGTTATTATTCACGGAAGAGGTTCCCAGCGACTGTGAGGCGCCCATTTAGTCACTATTAATACTAGCTCAGCAATTCAGCGTATGAGTTCACATCTCATCATCGGGAGATATTCTCGATACACGACGAGAATGTACTGTAGTACGTTGTGGGGCTCCCCTTATGGGGCGCAGATCTGAACTCATGAACGTTAGGCACCACCCAATTTTTTATCAAAATTAATTTATTTATTTTTAACTTCCGAAACCGCAACTCCGCAAGTATAAGAACGGTTGGAAGGCAAACCGGGAAGAGTGAGGACATTCCTCCCTCGAGGCGGACGGAGCTCCTCCTTCCTTCCTCCTCATTTCTCCTCCTTTTGAGTCTGGGACTGGGGCCCTGCCTCCCTCGACCGGCGCGATTCCTTGTCATTGTATTTGTACGCATTTACATGCAATAATCAACCGAAACAATCTCTCATTTCGCTCCTTTTGATCCATTTCTGAACATTGGCACTTTACTTCCTCCTGCTTCACTCGCTTCTTCTTTTCTAGGTTCGAATGATTAATTTGATTGGAAAATGAGGACTGGTGGTCCTTGCAATTTCTTTATTTCCTTGTTTTGTTAGTTCAACTTCATATCTTGGATCTCACACTCTATAATTCCGATTGTTTTGGTACCAGAGTGGAGGAATGGAATTCTTCCATAGAGCGAAGACCGTCCGCCTTCTGAGTCACCACGAGAAGTACCTTCTCGCCGATGAAGACGAGGAGTCGGTGTGCCAAGACCGCAATGGTTCGTGTCGGAACGCCAAGTGGGCCGTCGAGTTTGTCGATGTGGGGAACTATGTCCGTCTCAAGAGCTGCTACGGTAAATATCTTACCGCCACTAACGATCACGTCCTTCTTGGGGTGACCGGAAAGAAGGTTCTTCAGACTGCACCTAGGAGACTGGATTCCTCAGTCGAGTGGGAACCCATCAGGGAAGGCTTTCAGGTCAAGCTCAAGACTCGGTACGGCAACTTCCTGCGCGCCAATGGTGGTCTGCCGCCTTGGAGGAATTCCGTCACTCATGATATCCCTCATACATCATCACATCAAGATTGGGTGTTGTGGGAAGTTGATATTATCGAGATACAAGAACCGCCCTTTCATCCGCCTCGAGACGATTCGGATTCCGAACCTCTTTCGCCTTCCTCTATCCTCATCAAATCTAACAAATTAACAAAACTAGAGGTTGGTTTTGATTTGTTTCCTGCGCTACTTGAGTTTTATATAGAGTAAATTTTGGTAATTGCGGCTTTTTATTTATTTTTTGTTTGCAGTCGAGTGATTGCTTTGACACTTCACCCAAACCTGATGGTCGGGTAATCTACTTCCATGTGATGGACGAGAAAGGAAACGTTGACAATAGAACTGAGGGTGCTTCCTTCATTTTCAAGGGCACTGGGGTACATGAGTTGACTAGCAAGTTGGAGGAAGAGACAGGACTCCAGGATATCATTGTCTGCTCTCGTAATCGGTTCAATGGAAAACTTTATCCCCTACGCTTGCATCTTCCCCCCAACAATGCAACTATGCATATCGTTGTGGTTCCATCCACATTAAAGGGTGAGTTTGCTGCTTTCTCTCTTGAGATGCATTGAGTTGGTGTGGTAATTTATGGCTTCCACTCTGATTCTTTGAGATCTATTTTGCCCACAAAGCAATAGTTTTGTAATGCCTTCTAGGAGACTAGCCCAGACAATCCTTGTACGATACAGCTTTTTGTTTCATTTGATTTTCCTTAGGATCTGATGCATGGAATTAGAACTACCAAATTCAGAACCCCATGGATGAGACACAGAGTTGCAAAGAGAGAATAAAAACCAATGTCAAATAGTTGAACTACATGAACCTAAAGTCAGATGTTATGTTTTCTAGCTTGTTCTTTATTTTTTGTCAAAAAGAAGAACTTGAAGTGTTCATAACAAGTTTTACAAAGCCATTTGAATTAAGTGCTATGGTTTTGCATTACCCGTCTTACCCATTGTATATTCTACAATATATTAGATTCGGCATTTCTATTAAATACTGTAACTTAACTCTTTTGCTTGATTATAATTTGATTTTGATAGTGGTGTTTCTACTATCTTGTGACTGCATGGCGGGTGATTCTACCTGTTCCATCTGGTGAGAGAAAAATCTGCAGCTGTTAAAATCATTGAAACCTAAATCTGTCTTCATGGACTAGGAATTGGGGAACTGGACATCCACAGGGATTCTTACTAAAAGTGGCTCTTAAATGACTTAGGGTCCATTTGGTTTGCAGGAATAAAGGTCTGGAATCGGAATCGGAATGGACTATTCCGATTCCGACTGTTTGGTTGGATGGAATTGAAATCTCATTCTCATTCCTACTGAAATGGCATTCCCTCATTTGAGGGAATGATCATTCCCTGCCCCTCCTTTGGGAATGAAATCCCATTCCTACTGATTTTAATTTCCATTCTCATTCCTGTCTGAACCAAACAGACTGGGAATGGATCATTCGGTTTCGATTCCGACTATAAAACGGACCCTTAGTCATTACTAAAATGATTGCTGATTAATGAATAATCTAGGTCATACAGATGATGTTATTCAAATACTCTTGATACTAGAATCTTATGGCTACTCAACTTATTGTGGGATTTCTGTTTTTTTTTTTTTTTTATTTCACTTCATAAGTAGGATTTCTGTTTTCTGAAGTGAACGTGCAACAACGCCTTCTGCTGGTCTACATTATAGATGTTTTAGAATAAGAAACCTTAACTGGCTCTTTGATTAGTTGCAGATTTGAAAGTGGTCCACAAATGATTTGTATGGGTAAGAAACAACCCATGGACACAATATTCTTGCAACATTCTAGAGAAGAAAGGGCAAGTTATTAGTGGTATTGTTATGCAAATACTCTTTGCAAGGTGATGAGTTCCTTTGCATGACTCCAATAATGTAGAAAATGTTTAGTCCCTTTGCCATGGTTGCTTTGTTCGTAAGCAAAGTGCTGCTCATCCATTTTCTTCAATTTATTAATTTTATTGGCAATTTCAATGTGCCGGAAAGGTATGGCACCCAAAATAGTTCAACCAAACAGAAACACGTGTGAATTTGGATGAATACGTCGATTTGTTATCAGTTTTTTACTTTTTTAGATACCATACCTGGGACTCTTCCTTTTTTTTACTTTTTCTTTTCCTTTTTGGGATGAAGCATTCCACCGCTCCAACTCAATTTGATACTTCCCGTGCTTCTTTTTTCATACCAGTCTGAAATTTTGAATTTCATCTGCTTAACATGCTTATATTTTGCTTTTTATCAGGAACAACAGATTAGGGGCAGGAAATCCAAAATGAGCTGCGCTGGACATTGCCTCCCCATGCACAAACAAATGTGTGCACATGTTCTATACATCTTGCTTCAGGATATCTGGTATGTTTGCTGAAAGACAGCAGAATCAACTTCATGGATGTCACTCAGTTTTTGAATTAAAAACAAACAATCTTCCATGATTGCTGGTATGTTTGGGCAGAAGCTTAACTTTATTCAAGGAAGTAGCAACTTGTCTTTGATTAAAAACAAACAATCTTCCATTATAACCCGGACAGAGATTATTTTCCGACTTTGAATCACTCCATTTCTTTCTGGCGCTTCCAAAACGTTGTATTTGAGAACATCAAATACAGTGTGAAGGGCATGATTGTTAGCACTAAGCAGTATGCAGTAGGCTTTGAAGGATCCTTCGCCAAAACTTTGCACCATTTACAACACATTTTATTTTCTTGATATCGCCTTTTGTCAAGGTTTGCCTTGCATGTGAAATTCGGCTTCGCCCTCCCCATATCATGATTCCTAAAAGCCAACGCCTATGAAACACAGAATACCAAACGAATCTCATCTAGGTTAAAGCCTAAAACTTAACGTGCTCAGATGATTCTAATCATCCCCTTTACCCCGGAAATTTCATTCTGACTCGGTTCAGGTCCATAAGATCAAGCCGGTAAAAATCAATCTAGAATCTACATTTGTCCCATGGAAGCAAAATGCGGGGGCACATGGAATAGTTTTTCAACCCTTTTGGATTTGAACCACTTGTAGTTCAAAAATGAATCCGGATTAGCTGTGCTTGATGGCCGTGTTAGGGGCCTATTTAATCAATAATAACGCCCCACGTCAGCTGTGCATGCCAAGTAAGAGATTGTAGTGGTTGTGGGGCACACTTGATGGCTGACCTGCTTCTGAATTTTTTTTGACAGGCAATGTGGATCTGTTTACCAAGGAACATGAAGAAAGCCCACAGTACCACCATTAAGTAATATTTCAGAGATTGAAACGAGAGCACAAGGAAACCACTTTCTTTTTCTCTTGCCCGATTTACCATATATGATGAATGTAATAACTGTACGGTACAGAATTGAGAAAGGGTTGTATATTCTCTATGCATTAGTGACAGGACTCCTCCAACTTTGGAAACAAACTCCATCTCTGAAAAATCTAGTCCAATAGACTGATAGAATGAACCTCCCGACTAGGACAATGCTGAATCCTCGAAACAATCAGCTAAAGACCTAATATCCCAAGTACACTGTTTCTTCAATCATCTGATTTGCTCATTTCGAAATAAAATCTCTTTTAGTACACTGTTTCTCCGAGGGGACCAACTGCTCCTACAAATTCTTTCAAACTCGCTTCAAAACTTTGGTTGCTACAAAAATTTAAGCTTCGCTGCCGCAATTGCAGGGACGACTATGAGTAGCTATGCAGCACTATCGACAGAGAATGTAGGCCAAGTATTGACATATTCTCCAGGTAAAAGTTAATTTACAGCTTCGAAGAAAAGAACTTGAGGTTGTAAATGCCCTCTTTCACACATGGTAAGAACATCGTGCCAACTGCCAATTACCTACATGAATTTAACTCAATCATACAACATAGCTCAGGGGCATAATTGATTGGAAGAAATAATAATGCTTCATGAGTTCTACCTTGACAGTTTTGTCATCATACATAACCCATCGTTCAAGCTCATGACTGTAGGCAAAACAGTGATAATGTTGCCCATAATAGCAAACCTACAAATTACAGCAACAACAATCGGGGAACAGAAAGACAAGTTCAATTGATTAAATTCAAAATATATAGAAATAACAAAGCACAGAGCAAGAGTAAGGTTAAACAGTTTGCTACGTCTTTACTTTCAGAGGTCATAACAGTTGGGAATTGGGATGTCAAAGATGTAGTCCAGTAATGGTGTTTAAGTGAACTCTAAGCTCCTATTGATTTCAACATGCACAAGGATTCCAACAGTTAAATGGTGGGATGGGATTGGTAGCATCTAATTGGGTTAGGGTCGGTTTCATGTTGCAGAACACCAAACGATGTTGGTTTCAGTTTTTTCTAGATTTCAATTTTCAAGTTTCTTCACACCTTTTTTGATAGGTAAATTTTACCGTTTTTTCCCTATTAGTTTTAGTTTTTTTTTTTTTTTCATTCATTCATGTTGCAGAATGCCCAAAGGAAATGCTCCTGATAATCTATTTGGAGAAAAATCATAAGGCAGGACCACAAGATGGAAATGCTCCTCATAATTACCTAAGTTTTCATTTCAGAATTTAGAACTAGAGACATGCACCTAATGGCTAAAACACATCTTTGTTTGTTGACTGCAACACACAAAAGAAATTCAAACTCATCTTAACCAATGGCTGAAATTAACTTTAGTGTCCAAACTTACCACTGAAACTAGGGAATGTCGGTTCCCTGGATCCAGGCCTCGGTACAAGATGCCAATATCTAACTCAGTGGTAAGAGCTGCCAATGTCGCAGATATGTCATCTGCATTTTCACAGGTATTCTGCCAACCTAGAACTGCAAGATGCAAACAAGACATTTGCATATTTCCAAGCAAGAAAACCATCACCTACCATGAAGAAAATAGGCATGTTTCCCAAAACATGACTATTACCTGTTGTAAAAACATGTGGAGGGCTTGAAAGAATATGATGGATATAGTTGAGTTTACCACAGCCACCTGCCTCTGGGTCACAAGCTAACTGGTGATTCATCTCTACAAACTTCAGAAGCTCGTCAAAAGAGCTATCTGCACACAAAATCTGGGGAATATGGTATTGTGTGGCTCACTGTTAAATAGGCTTAAAACATGGCAATTTTCCAAAACATGAATCGTAATCACTTTCAAGTTTGAAGTGAAACTTTTCAAAATTCAAGGATATCAAATGAACATGCCTTCATTGTTCGAAGTGCACTGGCATTGATGTTGTGAAAAAAGGATGTGTACTTTAACTGTCTGGACTCCACACCGCAGCTGTAGCAGTTCATTCGTTCAAAAATGTCCATCCCAAAAAGTGTATGCACTATACAAGCATTGTTTACACAATCCCAAGAGCCCAAGCAATTGCTTTCCTCTGATTCAGCATCATGAACACCTGAACCAGAAGTAAATGACTGATGAAGGCAGTCAAAGATTACTGCCAACACCTCAGAAGCATCATTCATTTGTCCCTGTCAATTTGAACACATTTTTCAGCAATTATTAAAATAAAAAGCTTTTAACATGTATGAATTTTATGGCTTTTAAGCAAAGGTTGATGATGCAAATTGAAGTCAGAATTAGATATACAGCAAGAGATGCCACTATAGTCCTCTGAGAGTTATATATCCTGCAAGAGGAACCACCAAAGTCCCCTGTGGATTTACCTCTTGGAAGAAATTGCTATCGGGATACAAGTTGCTCAGAGCAATCCTCAAACAAGTAGGAGCAACAACTTCTTTTCGTGTATCTGTAGAAGTCATGCTCAAGGCAGTAAAAATATCATATAGTGCACAGACAACACAAGGATCACCGACATGCACATGGACTGATTCTGATCTCTTCAAGAATTCATATCTAAACCGCCTTAAATGCCATAAAGACTGTATTTTTCACAGAAAGAGTAACCATCTCAGGCTGTAGGGATAAAAATGCAGAAGAGAAACAAATTTACTCTCACATGCAATAGAAATGAAAAGTGGCTATTAACAATCTAAAGCTAACCTGTATAATTACATTTAAAAAGCAATTGTATTCACCAACTTCATTTTTCAGCCCTGTTCCAAACACATCAATTCCATTTATGTTCTCAACCATGACTGCATCAGGTGAAGCTCCATAATCACCTGCTTCTGGAGAAGTCCTTTGAGGCACCCTTTGCCTTGGAACTGGTGGTGAACCTTTATGTGCTTGGAATGTGTCTGGAAATAAAATAATGAGAATACAAGATATTAATTTTGACTTCACGGAACAAGAAGTGACGACACAAGTACTCAGTGAACATCAAACATATCATGTTCTTTTATTTGAGTTTGAAGATTGAACAGTTGGAAAAGTTAACCAGAAAAAAAAGAACTAAACAGTTTAATACAACTAATTACATGTACAAACCAAATGCAGCAGCAAGGGTGACTAATATTTTTCTCAGTCAGATGCTACTTTTTTGTATCAAAAGGAGGGAGGAATCTCTTTCCTCTGTAATTGTACAGAGGACCAAGCTATAAGTAGTTTTTTATCTTCCAATTCAAATATCAATTTTTCACTGATAATCCCATTTAAGAAGTTTTCTCCACATGCTACACAGTTTTTCTTCTTACACAATTGACCAGGTAAGAGCTAGTCAGTTTTATTTTCCTATAGCTGACTAACCACATGTACTTGAGAAACACACACACACACAGTGACACTGAGCTGGAAAACAAAGGAAACTTTATACATCCCAAGGGTTCTATTCAGCTAGATACAAAAATATTGCAGTTCTCAAAAAAAGTATTGTATGGAGTGTTCTTGAATAATTTGTGAGAAGCCACCCTAGAGTAAATTCTTCCCCAAAACTTTTAGTACTGAATCATCCAAATTGTACTTGTCCTCAAAAGGGCCTATTGTTCCTCTCTGTCCACAGCACTGCTGGTGGAATTACTCCCTAGGGGGCTCACGGTTCGTTTAACCGAACTGTGGGCCTTTTTTGTGAACCGAACTGGTAGTACCAGTTTTTGGAAAACCGGTAGCCGGAACCAAACCGAAACTAGTCGGTTAACCGGTTGACCGGTTCGGTTCATCGGTTTTTCAGTTTTTTTGACTTTATAATATTTATTATAAAAATATATAAATATATAATAAAAAATTATAAATATATAAAATATTATATTTTAAATAATAACTAATATATAATATATTATAAATATATTTATATATAATGTGTATTTATTAATTTATAATATATAAAATATATATAATATACATAAATATATAGAAAATATATAGAAAAACATGTATATCGATCAGTTCGGTTAACTACCGATTTTTTTAATTGGTTAATTGAAACCGAACCGGTACCTTCAGTTTTTTAAAAACACCGAACTGACTAGTTCAGTTAACCGATTTTTCGGTTAGGTTTTGGTCGGTTTGGTTTTTCGGTTTTTTTTGCTCATCCCTATTACTCCCCAGATGGCTCTTCCTTTTTTAGATAAGCCAGCTAGATTCCAGCTCCAAAGTAACTCCAAAAGACCTTTTGGGAAGCACAAGGACACCTCGAAGCATCTCAAAGCCTTCAACCAAAGCTCCCTTGCAAACTTGCAATGTAGAAAGAAATGTTCCATGTCTTCACTTGAAGTTACTGCAGTTAGTATAACTTCTGGGTACAAAACAAAACAGAAATCAAAGAAGAAGAAGAGAGAAGAAGAGAAGAGAAGAGGAAGAAAGAAAGGAGAAGAGAGAGACAGAGGAAGAGCAAGAGAGTGATGGGCTAAAAATCACTTACTGCCGCTCAAGGCTGTATTATTTATATGTTCAACATAACATTAGGTAAAAGGACAAAAATGCCCTGCTACCTACAATAGTACAAGTAAGCAAGCATAAATGCAAGAAAT